TAATTATTAAAAATAATTTGACTTGAATTTATTAAAGTTGAAAGCAAAGAGTGCAATCAATATACATTTAGCACTCTCCAAATCTCTAATAACTGAGTAGTTATTCTGCGCAGGGACAAGAAAGATAAAAAGCACAGCCTTAGATGGTTTCCATGGGAAGTGAAGCGGACTGCTGTGCTTAACCATTTAAAAGCCCCACAGATGCATGACGAGAAAATTAAGGAAGTGGTTATTTATAGCAACGATCAATTCTATTAAGGTCCCACAGTTTTCTTTTGTACAAATTTAACTTGACTATTCACAAAAGAGCACATGAAAATATAGAATTCTATTGTTTAAATTTTTCACAAAGGCTGTTTATTAAACCAAGTGCTTTTAATAATTGCATTTTATTTTAATTCTGACTCAAAAGGATCATTCAAAATCAGCAGAATGATTATGAGCAACAGAAGAACAATTTTGGAGGACAATTACATTCACTATTAGAAAATTATGTTCACCACTCTAAGTCAAATAAGGGTTATTAGTGACCTTATCTTATTTTGAATCCCTTAATACACTGCCTAAGGAGGGAAAACACTGAACCCTTACTTCATTGGACAGTAACGCTGCTTTTTAGAAACCACAGAAATGAGTAGGTAGGGTCTTAACAATGATTTCGGAAAAACTGGCAAAAATGCCGGTTTTCTAACCCACTCAAATATTCAGTAAAAAAAAAAAACAACAAAAAGCAAAAACCTATGGAACCAAACATCTATCTGTATTCCTTGTAGCGTAAGTAATGGGATGTGATATTTATTAGCTTACTTGAATTTAAAAAGTGCTTGGGATAGGGTAGAGGAAGTGGAATACTCAGCTTACTACTTAATTCTACACGTTATTTACAAAATAACCCATATGTAGGGGAACCTTACTGTCATGGGTGAAAGCAGTTTTTAGAGCTGAGAATTCTCCAAAAAGAAGTTCCCCTGAGATAAAGTGCAATACGGCTTCAAAGCTTCTATGTTTGCTTTGCAGTTGTTGTTCTTGCTAACACTGAATCAGATGGGAACACATTATCCACTGCTCATTCCACTCCCCATGCTGTTTCGTTCTTCCTTTCCTTTTTCTGGGCAGCCCCAACTACTTCTCTAGACAAGGATTTAAGATGACATTTTTCCACTTGGATCTTATTTTATGCTAAACTCAAATGCCTTTCCTTCCTCATTTATTTTTCCTGTGGTATTAGGGCATATTTTAACTTTACAAATGCTTCGTACTGGAATCCTAGCTGTTTTTAGGGCAACTTGTGCCAGGGCCTCCCCAACTTTTCAGTAGGTTCAACAGTCAAGCTCCCACCCCTTCCATTCATCCTAGGACCAAAAGTGATGTCAGGCAGGCGTGAGTGAGGACCCTGAGTCACACAGTAACTTGGCCTCAAGACTGCGAAGTGTAATGATCAAGAGTAGGGCTCTGCAACTAGACTGCCTCAATTTAAATATGAGTTCTACAACTTATCACCTGCTTGACCTTGGGCAAGTTTCATCTCCTGTTGCCTCAGCTTCATTTGTAAAACGGGGATCACAGTAGCTGTCTCCTTATGGTTCTTGTGGGGATTGTTGACTATTAGGACACTGCCTGGCATATGAGAAGTGTTTAATGATAGATTGTTTTAAAGCCACTTCTCCTGTTGCCCAGCTCCAACTCTGTGCTGCNCAATAAACTTCTAACTTGATTGATGGAGAAGAGGAGGAGGGGAAGAAAGAGGAGGGAAAGAAGAAGGGAAGGGAAAGGGAGAGGAAGATTTGGAGGGCGAGAGAGAAGATACAAATCCTTAATACCAGGAATGAAAGATGTGACATCACTATCGATACTACAGACTTCCAAAGAATAAGAAGAAAATATTTGTAAACAACTGTATACAAATAAATTTGGTAACTTAGATAAAATGGGTACATTCACTTAAAGATACAAATTATCAAAACAGACTCAAGAAGAAACAAAATCTGACAGTCCTATATCTATTGAATATATTAAACAATTAAAAGTCCTACCGCACAGAAAGCTCTAAGCTCAGGTGAATGCCACCAAAAATTCAAAGAAATATTTTTTCAACACAAACATTTTTTAGAAAATAGAAAAATAGGAGATAGAAAAGAGTATTCTCCAACTTATTATTTTCATATTTATTACACTGATACCAAAACTAGATAAGGACATTACAAGAAAACTATAAACTAATATTCCTCATGAACTTAAATGAAAACATCCTTAATTATAGCAAATTGGATCTAGGAAATATATTTTTTTGAATGGTAATACACCATGACCAAGTGTGGTTTATCCCAGAAATGGAAGGTTGGTTTAACATTCATATTTCAACCAAAGTAAATCACTATATTAACAAAATAAGGGGGAAAAAACAAGTAAACATCTCAATAGATACAGGGGGGGAAAATATATGACCCAATTTAATACCTGTTCACGATAAAAACTCTCAGCTAAAAAGGAACAGGAGGGAAATCCCTCAACCTGATAAAGTGTATCTACTAAAAAACCTACAGTTAAGGTCATACTTAATGGTGAGAGACTGAATCCTTTCCCCCGAAGATCAAGAACAAGGCTCTCACCATTTGTATTCAACATAGTGCTGGAGATTGTGATCAATGCAGTTTAGNAAAAAAAAGGTACACACACCACTTTTACAGGCACACATGTAGCCCCCTGAAACTGACATTGAAAGCAAAAGATTATTTTAAAACCTTGAAATAGTAACCACCCATTACTCAGCAATAATTCTTATATATTTCACTGAATTCAACTACTTTGTGTTTATTTTTCAAAGCAGCTAACACAAAGAAATAATTGCAATTGAATCTAGGCCTTGAAAATTATGATGGCCTCAAACTGAAACCCATAGGAAACGGCTGGGAATGATTTTTCTTATTCCATAATATTTTATAAAGTCAGAAAATACTTTAAATGATCACCCTTTTAAATGAAACTAACATGCAATAATAAATTACATAATGTTAATAATAACACATTTATTAACTACTTTACCCTTCACACCAGGTAAGTCCTATTATTATCATCCCCATTTTACAAATGAGAAAAGTGAGGCAGATATATTAAAGGACTTGTCTAAAGTCACACAGCCACACCAGCCTGAGGTTCAATTCCAGGCAGTCTGGTTCTAGAGGCCACACCCTGAACCACTATCCCATGCCACACCAACACACAAAGGTCATCTCTTGGAATTAAGAAACTGCCAAGGGAACATAATATAAACACAAAACTTTTATCCTCCATTAAAAAAATATTTTATTTATGTCTATTCTGTATGAATGTCAAAATTTAGTGCAATATAGTTCTTTTTAACTTAAATTTTAAACATTTTACTTACAATTTTCAAAATATCTATTAAGAAAGCAGAAAAAATTTTTTGAAGGGGTAAAGACATTGTTATTCATAATAACAAAAAAAAGCCCCCACAATAAAATTTGCTTCACATTTTCTATTAATAAAGGTCACCATTTATAATGTATAACCACGTAATTTCGGAATGTAATATTTTGGGTACTACTTATCATATAATTGTAAGCAGAAAATTTAACCTTTTTGTATTATGATATTTTGTGTTTGTTTCTACTCTGTAGGAATGTGAAAGTTTGGTGCAGCATATAGTGTGAATAATGAAAGCATTTTATAAAGTTTGAAGACCGAAAAACGATGGAGTTCAAGTTAGTCAACACATCCAAGGAATTAATCATTGGTACACAATCCTAGTCCTACCCTCAAGAAAACCATAAAATACAGAGGGTATACACATTTTTAAAAAAAGAAAAAACTATTAAAATTGTAATAATATATACCGATAACAAAAGATGAAGACAAGTCATGTGCATACATTTTTTTGGCACCCCCGGTAGTCCTCTTAATTGGTTTGAGACCCTACCGACTGGCATGAAAAAAACAAAACAAAACAAAAAACAGCCCCAAATCCCAGACTCAGAATACTGGATAAACCCGTGACAAAACCTGCACCACTCTGGGTGGTTTAACTCAGCTCAGGCCACTGACGTTCCTGACTTGCCTAAAGTATGTTTCTCCATCTTTTTAGTCTAACTTCAATCATCAACTTTTATAATTTATACTATATTTCATTGAGGTATTTGGTCATTTTTGTTTCTTGGCGTCTAAAATTAATTGAAATTTAAAAGGCATATATCCGATAACAAAATCAGACACACCAAAAGTTAAAAAATAAATGTCCATAATTTACTGCAGAAAGTTACAGATAAAAACCAGAAACATACATATTCAAACAAAAACAAACAAAAATGTCTGTATTCTAAGCAGCAGCAGCAAATTTTCTCCTTTTGTACTCGATTTTAATTTGCAGTTGAAAAAAAACCAAAAGAGCGGCACACTGTCAGACCTACCGAGAAACCCTGTGCGACAAGGGCTCAGGGGCTCCGCCTGCAAGCCCAGCACTCTGACCGAAGCTGTTATTAAAAGCCTGTGAACTGGAAATGCATTTTGGTCATTGGCATGCAAATGCACAAACCAAGTGTCCCAATTTCCTTGGATAATTCCATTTATCTACATAGTAGTAAGTTAGCCCAGCTCTGAGAACCAATGAAAAACTTCAGGGAGTACTTATAGATGCAAAGATTTATACATGCACACATGTTTGTGCTTACACACTTACACACACACACACACACACACACACACACGCGCGCGCGCGCGCGCGCGCGCGCTTTCTCGTGCATTAAGTGCTTGGAGAAGCCAGGCAAAGAACAGTAAACACTCCAAGTTCCTTCCAGATGGGCCCACAATCCACTGAAAAGACTCACCTTTGGGCTTCTTCTTTTTGTTTTTCTAATTCTATGATCTTTCGCTCTTGCTCTTTCTGTTTTAGTCGTTCAGCTTCTATGGACTTTTGTTTCTGGAGTTGCTGCTTATTATGTATTTCTCTTAGTTCCTATAAATAACCAAGAAACAGTTCATGGAATGCATGAGGTGATAGGCATTTCCACTGTTCATCAGCATGCAACATTTCACAGTGGGGTGGCTTGGGCACTTAGGAGATAACATTTCAGATTTGAAAAACGTTAACTTTGAGAACTAGCATCACTCTACATTTTGATATGACTGATCCCCAAAAGCTGTTCTAAGATTATATTTTAGTGAGCCATAACACATTCCACATTTCCCATGATGTGCTTTAGAAGGAAATTGCTAATGAAGGGCATTAGAGAAGCTACACTGCTCAAGACTCAACAATAATAATGAAACTTAACCATTTTTAAAACATGGTGATGATCATGAACGAGGTCCTTCTAATAATCAATAAACACCAGCCTCTACTGGCTTTGAAAAGACACCATCTGCATTAAAACCTCCCCTCCTGCTCAGGCTATGCTGCCTTAGAACAGATGGACATCCTTCTGCTCCCCAACCTTGATTCTCCCCCACTCAGGGTCTATTTTCCTTCACATCGCCCCTCTTTCAGAGCATCTCCTCTTACTAAATCCATGTGTGAAGTTGTCAGCTGCCCCGGACTAAACCAGCAGCAATCAGGTGAAAGTAAAAAGCTATAATTTCATAATCACCACCTTGGATCCCAATTCCTCATTTGACACTAGCCTCAGGAATAACAGTCATTTCCTTCATAAGCTACTGAGAACAAAATGCACTTTATGATATTTAAAGTATCTAAACACCCAACAATACGAAGAAGAAAGAAATGATAGTTGAGAGAGAAACCCTCTGACTCCACAGGAATCAAACGGTCACTATCAGGTTCAGTCACGGAAACTCCTTTCTTGTGTCACCAATAAATCAGATGAGCCAAAGTATCCAGCAGACCCAAAAGTGCATTTCCAGTTGGCTTCTGGGTTTAACTAAGGTTAGAACCCCAAGTGGATA